GCAGGCTGAAGAGCTACCACTATATATTTGACAAACTCTTTTATTCATTTTTGATATTGATGGCTACAAAAATGGGGAGAAATGCAATGAAGCAAAGCTGCATATTTTCAGATTGCTATAAAATGCCCTAAAATAATGAACAATTTAAAACATAAGATAATTTAAAGCACTGTATTTTGACATATAAGCTATTTGTACTGTGATCTGTTTCTTCTATTGTTCATAAACAAAGTAATTTATATAAAATCAAACGAACCATGAACTCATACGTCCATCTACTATTCTTCATCACTAACAGAACAAGAGGTGGGCTGGGATACAGCCTGTTCCACAGAACCGACTGGCCTATAATTTTAAGCCCTAAATCCCGTAAGCAGATTCAGTAGTACAGCCCTGTACCTGCAGAGTGCCTCACTGGTCCGCTAGCAGCAATCCAAGAGGTATTGGATCCTCCTGGAGGATATAAAGATTTAACTGAAATGAACAAAATTTGGTTTCTGAATGAAAGTTCATTCTATGCTTATAATTGGAAAATATAAGAGGAGACATGGGAAAATTCATACATTAGGCTTGTGCTCTCATTAAAGTCAGTGGAGTCATTCTAAATTAATAATGACATAAAAGCAATCCGAACTTGGCCTTTAAGGTTATATTCTATCAGTTTGCTAATACCATGTAAATTCTATATTTGAAACGTATCCTGCAATCATCTTGGCCCTTCTTTTTTAAAGGAAAGTTCTGCTTAGAATCCGCTGATACAGCTTGGGCCATTATTGTGTAACTTATTTTTAAATCGAGACTGATTTTAGGAGCCATATTTGTGTCTACAGACAACATCAAACAAGAGAAGGAAAAGTGGTGAAAAGAAATTTGTTTTCAAGTTGCGAATAGATTAATAGTTCCAGTTAAAGAACTATGCAGAAAATACACAGAAAAAAATCCACCATAAAAATCATGTATACGGTTGGAAAAGATACCCTACTAGAAATATTAGTTCCACGCATCCTTATGGATTGTGAGTACCAACCCTTAAAAGTCAATACTGTCAGCCATTTGGCATATTTGTTGGCCTGACACGTTTATACAGTGTGCCTAGGCTAGGCTTAATTTCACTGCTTTCATAAAGTGCAACTTGGGCTTAATGAAGGAAAACCTAGGGCGATAACAGTAGCAATCTGAAAAGTCACAGAAGTGAGATACTCACTGGGTTGCACACAGGAATACCCTACTGTGTGTTGTCCCACTCTGAACCTAAAATGGCTGTTTTGCAGGGCATGTTGTTGCCTGGTGACCAAAAGTGCATCTCCTAGGTCACAGAGAGATGTGAACATTCAGAAATTGATTTGTTCCTGTTGCTCTTGAGGAGACCATACCCGTAAAATAGATTAAGCCAGCACACCATCATCTATACATTCTCCTTGCTGGCATGCTTAAACTTGGTACTGAAGATAGACCTGTGATTTTGAGCTACTTACCAACCAGGCAAGGGAAAAACAGGATAATACCTCGTGCGCTACTGCCCACAGAATATGAAAGCAGACCAAGCCTCAGCTACTGTGAGACTGCAAGACACCCCTGCTTCAATTAAGTCTGTGTTGTACATCTCGCCTGTTCCGGTGCAACCTCCCAGTTGCTATCAGGCTCTCTTTCTTTCATTAGAATCAAGTAGTTAATTAGCCCCAGCCTTCCCTTTAACGCAGCAGTAATGATGTCTAATTACCAGCAGCAGTGGATTACAGCACCATCAGGAGCAAATCTCTCTGGCTGACAGCAAAGCTGAGCCGCAAATCTTAAAGCTTCAAGGAGAGAATAATTCCTAACGAAGTAGTTGAATATTTGCTTATTTTTGACCAGCTTGTGACTGTAGAGCCCAACTTGTAATTTCATCCATCCTGTTACTGCAGAGGGAGCGCTCATGCTGCCAGCAGTGATTAAATTGAAATTACTTTTACCTATGGTGAGATCAGGTGATGGACAAGAAGAGGGAGAGGATGAGGGAGAGATTCACGGTTTGGGGATCTGTTACTGTTTGTGGCACTCTCTGCGGACTGGACGAGCTCAAATGTATGGGATAACAACGAGAGAGGTGAAAAAATCCACCAAAACAGTGGGGATGTTTCTGAATGGTCATAAATTAATAAACTCTTAAATAATTAGTAAGAGTTAAAGCAATGAGAGAATGGGCTTTTCGGGCTTACCAACAATTACTGCCTGATGAAAATCCAGTCTTTCCCCCTGTAACTTATCATTCCTGGCTGGGTGAAATCCTAGGCCTCTTGAAGTCAATAGGAGCTTTGCCACAGGCTTTCTCCAGGCCAGGGGCTGCATCCCTGGTCTGTAAAATGGGTTGTTTCAGAGCCTTCAGCACCTGCCAGGCGCTGCCCCTGCCCTGGCAATAGCTCATACAAACCATTGCCACCCTACGGGTCTGCTTAAATGCGCTTCTGCCTTTTGTGATGGGATAGTGACACCAGATTCATGGGTTTAGCAGAGGGGTGGCATTTGTTTCGGAGAGCTGGCTGTTGTATAAGAGCGCTGAGGATCAACTTTTCTCATTTGTGTTGGACAACAGATTTATGTTGGCCAGCAGGAGGAAATTTTATCTACGTGTAAGACCTTTTCCATAAGGGTTTATATGTCATTGTTCAAGTAATGTACAGATATTCAGGAATTGCTTACAGATAGGGTATGCTAACTTTCCTTTCTTGATTTTATTAGCAGGCATTCTTATTTTGTCAGGATGCCTGCTTGGTTGCTTAAGCTGTCTAAAGATAAGTTACTTCTATATGAATACAAATGCATATATAGGGACATACAGAGACATTCATAGCTGAGCGTGTGATTCCCCCAAATGAACAAAGGTAAGACCAGCAAGGCGCTCGACCTCTGACCAAAAACTCTGAAGGAAAAAATAAATGAGAGAAATTTTGACCTGAAAATAAAATAGAAGAGGGGATGCAAGGTGGGACTCCAGGCTCTCATGGCCTAGCAAAGGTGAGAGAAAATAGACAAGCTGATCATCACTGAGTCTGGTGTTTCGGAGGCCCAGAACAGCACTTAATTTTAAAATTCCATCTTGTAAAATTAAGTTTAGCCTTTTTATTTAGTAGCGTAGTCAATGTAATTTTAAAAAATATGGAATTTGCTTACAGTTTTGAACTTGCAGTGAAAAGGATAATCTCAGGAATAAAAGATCGTGCCTACTGGCTTTCCAAAATTATTATTCCAGCAAGCAGAAGAGAGATTAAAAAATACCAACCTAATTGGAGGCTTCTGCTTTAGACAACATTTTTGTTATAAATTGTATCTACAGTACCCTCTGGGGTCAGAGATGAGCCATCAGTCATCTAACGGTAGAAAAGAAATCTGCCAAATAACCTGAATCTATAGGCAGACCTAGAACGCTTTGGTGAATAAAAACCATGGAGAGGGAACAGACTCTGTCCAGAGCTTCTCTTTCGCTTTCAGTCTTCGTATTTGTAAATTCCTTACAGTTAATTTCCCACCTCTGCCTCCTCACAGCCGTGACGGCGGCGATGACAAGGGGGGCAAATATAAGCCGGCCCCCGGGAATGCCCAGGTTTATGACTTCAGCGAGGCAGAGAGAGGCAGATTTCCCCGGCAGCCTACGTCACAACCCAACCCAGAATACTTTCCAAGAAGCCCCTTTGCTGCGCCACCCAGCAACCTCCCCGTTAGGTCAAAAAAACCTGCCACTCCAAAAAAAAAAAAAAAAAAAATAAAAAATAATAATAAAAAGAGAATATTGCTCAGCCAAGCCCAAATGCCCAGGCAGGTTTTAATTGCGGCTCCCCCTCCCCGCCCGCCCCACGCACAGACAAAAGAAGCTTAGCTTGCCTGACCCAGAGCATAAGAAGTAAGAATAATGATACATTAAGAGTGTTCAATAGGCAAAACCTACTTGCAGCCAACAGTCCCCATCTTCTTAAATAGGAAAATCTGTCGCTCCTGCCACCACCAAGCATAATAGCTCTCCCGCTGTCAGCCCTGCGCCGAGCCCTGCAGCTCCGGCGCCTGCCGGGGGATGCCACGCTACCCTGGCGCATCAAATGGAGTTTTAAGCCTGATGGCTGCGAGACTCCTGCGACCCCAGCAAAGAGGAACGAAATACACCCTGCCTTCGGTCAGGCGGAACCCGCTCTGCCTTTGTGGAGCATCCTCTCTCCCCGCCGCCGGCGCTTCCCGGCCAGCCGGGCACGCTTCGTGCCGCTCGGCGGCTCAAGGGCTGCGGGCTAACAATACAAAAAATAATAAAAAAAGGAGAAAAAA